CATCAGTGCTTCCTGGCATTTGTGTCGAATGATCACGCGTACCCTGATATATTCTTTGTGCCCACACTGGAACGATTCGCTGACCCAACTGATGACCACGTTCCTGCTGCTCAGGTGAACCGCGTGAAGTTTGCTGTTAAGAATCTTGAATCTTTGATACGCCACTCTCACTGGACGAGTGGAAACGCATCAGCACTTCCAATTCAATTGGTTTCTGTATTGAAGGTAACAAGAGGGCATGAAGATGAGGTTGAAAAGGCGCCGAACGGACTACTTGATGTGTACACACGGATTTCATGGAGGGATTGTCCTCTTCGCTTTCCTGTTGTTAATAATTGTAGTGGTGATAAACGTTTAAGTGATACAGGATTGAATTGTCTGCCTCCACCACGTCGTCTCTCTGCATTGTCAGGTGATTTGGGTATTAAGTTACAATCGGGATTTCCAGGGGAGGCGTATTGATGAAAAATTATGCTTTGAATATGGTTTTTATTGATTTTTTATTGTTTCGGATAAAAGGTACTGTATTTTAGTACGTGTTGTTGTATATATTTCTTACTCTTCTTATAGGGGGTTTTCGGTAGAACGATATAATTGGTTATTGCAGTGGTAGATCTGTTTAGTACGTTGTATAGTAGTATAAAACGAAATTGTTTTTTTTTTTTCTTACTTATTTTAAAGTGATCGACACCGTTCGAATATCAGTTTTTTTATTGTCCATTGCGATAAAGAAGGGGTCCTATATATATGGTGACCTAATCTTTTGTTTGTGTTGAAGAAATTCTTTTTTTTTCTTGCATTGCTCCAGTTTAGTGATCATAATAATGATGAGTCGGAGTGGTCAAATGACTGAAGAGAATACGACTGACATAAGACGAAGGTGGGAAAGCCCTCTGTTGTGTCTTTGTTTTTTTGATATTTGTCTTGTTTTTCTTCTTTTATATTTTACACGCTTGTGTATTGATTCTGAACGTAGAGGAAGGGGACAACGAATGCGGTAAGAAAAACAAAAAAAAAAAACATGCCTCAGGTTTTGTTTCTTAGTATTATTATGAGGCTCACTGAATACTGTCTTTCCTCCTCCTTTATATTTTTCCTATTCTCGTTTTCCTTATTTCTCTCGTCTGTGTTCTTTTCAGATACGCGTCAAAGTTGGTTCTACAGGCCCAACTAGAATAGTTCACTTTCATCCTTTGACTTTTTTAAAGTTTTTTTTTTCCTGCGCTCTTTCCATCCTTTTTCTCCTCTTTGTGTGCTACATTCATAATGAACGTGGGATACTCCAGACCAGTAAAAGAAACCAGGACAGAAGCGTAAGAACGACAGTATGTTTTTTAACCCGTTTTCCTAGCGTCGTTTTTTTTTTTCTTTAATACAGTTTTCTTACTGCATGTACGTATAGGGATTATTTTGTCAAAGATTTACAAGTATTTGAAACGTAATGTTTCAGGTTTCACCCTATTCCATACATAAGAAATATGTACCATCTTTTTATGCCATCGTATTGTTTTCACGTCTGCTTTTTAAGCGCTATTGCCAGCAAGGAGGAACATCTCCACACTTGCCAATGACGCTAACGTACACACACTACTATATGTGCAGATGAAAAAAAAAAATGTGTGGTTACGCGAAAAAAAAGTGGATATAAGAAAAAGAAGTAAAAATAATAAATGTCACACCGGTTATTCTATATTTTCTACATATTTTGAAGTATAATTAAATGTATCATTTTAATTGATTTTTCCCGAATGATACTTGGGCAACCTTATGGGTAATATCATTACAAAAAAAACTAATTACTATTGAAACATAGGATGTGGGACACGTACTGTTAAGAATAGAACTGAAACAA